CTTTTAGTGCTGCTAAACCACACCTATTGATCATAAGCAAGAACTGAGGTTAGATCCCTGCAAGGATTCCAGTTCCATAACAGGGAATGTGTTCCATTCCAATAGTGGGAGAAGCATATGGAAGTAACGGTATGGAAAAAAGCTCCGGAAATCTTCTGCTGACAAAGTTCTGCAGCAAAACCTTTTGTCTGCCCCAAAACACACTGGCGCTGGAATATCCAAGAAACCAATATCTACAGAGCAAAGCAGACGACCACCAATGTAGTCTAACGTCTAAGCAACACAGGGTTTCACTGCACAAAAAAGATTATTTAAAGCTACCAGCGATCTTCTCGGAGGTACCTAAACACCCTGGTTAATTTTGTCCCTGGAGTTTCTCTGTTGTGGGGTTTGAAACTGGACCTTAAAATGTCAGATGTTATTGGCGGCAATGTTTCAAAGAGCGATACAGGCCAAAACTCCCAAAAGCCAGTGGGACGCATAACCATCATACAGAATTTTCCTCATCGTTATTGTGCCATTCAAGTCCCCTGAGCTGATGTCACTAAAAAGGTCCTTCTGTTTGCTTGATTACAGATTTAACAAATTGCCTTGAAGGGTCTTATCTGACTAAGCCTAAGCTGAGCCTATTAATAAAAACCTTGGCCAGAACTTGCATTAACATTAAAGAAACAAACCGGCACAAAAAAAATGAATGAATAAAACAAGTGGCGTATTCTGAAGTCCGTATTTACATGGGTTAGATGCAGACTGCCAGACAGCATAGTGTGTAGCAAGGGGGTCAATTAGGGGGCAACTCTGGCCAAGTCACTGGCTCCACAAAGTCCAGACTGCTGCTGTAGCGACAAGGTGCCAAGGAGAAGGAGACCACAAAAGCACGATTCAAAGAAAGTGAAGTTATTAGGCCTGACAGCAGGAAAACAGGCAAATCACAAGAAACAGGTGCAGAGTGGATGATCGGGACGAGTTGCGGGGACGCATGCTCCATTATGCATGAGTCCTGAAGGAATAGCTGTTAGCTAATTATTTACATGGTTATACGAGCTCAACTGCCATCCAACAATGGGATATTCACGTACTTTTTAAGCATTAAATAGAAAATGTACTGGGATTAAACCATAGTACTATAATTGCAGTAACTAATTGTGGAATTTCAATAAACCTCAGCAATGCTCGTCTCATCAGCGAGCAACTGAATTCCTTTACCCTCGGCCTCGTGACAGCTGAGAACACCTTCACCTGCACCAAGTCCTTGCTTCCAGCCAGTATTTCGATGTGCCAAACGAAAGGAAGCCACTTGAACATCTAATACCTACAAGCTGGGGGCAGGGAATACAGTTCAGCTCGGCCTGTAATCCCTCCTGACAACAGCCCCAAAGTGCCTATGGGTCCGGCCAGCATTTGGCCTACCCCCCCAAGCATGGCACTGAAGATCTACGATGCTACAATCACCACAAAAAGTCTCTGAATACTAGATCTCCTGCATCCATCGGGGGAGACCTGGAAAAACACGGCAGATGAGCATGAAATCACATCCGGCTAAATTGATATTCACTGTCACCCTGCCAAGGACCGTCTGCGCTGAGGCGGAATGAAGCCAGTATGCCGTTGTGGTAGCCATCTGATTAGCTGCAGTGTTGGGAAACAATAACATAAGAATGGAGTAATAGATGACTTTGGGTGGAGTTTTGTTTCTTACTTACTACAGAAAATGCTGTCACTCTCTCAGTGCTGTAACCTTTAACTTGCGGGCTTGTTATGACTTGCTTGACCTGGAGTACAACTGATCAGTTTACTGCTGTTCTGTGATGTCATTTTATCCTGACTCAACCTAAAGGCGAAAGGCACTCAAGTCGTAATTTCATCAAGGGAAGGGGCTGTGGTTGGGGTTCAGCTTGAGTTACGGTGGCTGGTTAATTTTATTTTCTGATCATGAATCTCAAACAATACATGTTTTTTGTCCAACTTGATCTGTGTTCTGCCGAAATTCTGAGGCACTAGATTGTTTATGTTTTCTGGATGAAGACTAGACCTGTTGAACCTTGAGCAGAAAAACTTGGAAATCAACACCACCTGGGTTGTCCCCTACAAGGCAGAGCTCTCTGTTATCCCAAGCTAGTGACCATAAATATCTCCAGTGGCCAGAGCTCTATACAGATACACACCCCCTTATAAAATGATCCCAAATCAGCATTAAAATCATGACACATTAGCTTAGAATTTAAGGAGGGAAAGCTGAACTCGAACTACTGGGAAGTAATTGGGAAACCTTTGCTCCGAACAAGAAGCTGCATCATCCCAAAATGTGCCCCATGATAGCCTCTTCCTAGAATTCGTAGGGTTGGGACACTGCGATTCTCTGCTGCACTCCTGCCAACCGTCCCCATGATAGCCTTATGTTTTATATCGGCGTACATGCGTGTGTGTGTAGCGCTACTTGGGAAGTATCCTCAAAAGCATCAAAGGCAACCGCCAACTCCCCCACAAACAAGCCAGGCTTTTATTTACCATTAGGTCACCTATTGGCAATGGGTTCTTGGTGTTACTGCAGCTCAGAAAAATGGGATCTGCCTGAGCGAGTCAAAGTCGTGAGGCACCTATGAATGTACTGTTTGTTTAGCTAGTCAGCTTAGCTCAGGCAGCCAATGGGCTTTGCCATCCAGGGAATCTCCTAAACACAAAAAAATAGCTACTTATTTTGATGAAATTTGATATGAGAATAAACTAGCCTTCAATCTCTTCATAGTTCTCCACTATCTGTGTAAGACTCGCCCCGTTAAATGGAAGAGTCTTGCTATGCAGCTTAGGAGTCTGTTGTTAATATTTCCTTTTAACAGCTAATCACCTCACACGTCCTTCATAATTAGGTGTGTCCCCATAAAAAAGTGCATGAAAATCATTTCATCTCACTCTGAATGTTTGTAATGTTCCCCAACGTAACTACTGCTGTTGTTCTCTTTCTGTTAAAGACTCCCATAAACATTTTAGAGCTTACACGAGCCACGCACTGTTTTCCTCATATGGTCACTAATTAATCTGCAATGTACTGGCCAACCTCGGTGTTCTTATTTCCTAAGTGTACACCTTTCAAACAATGATGTAACAGAGAAACTATGAGCACACAGCAACAACAAACAGCAACAGAAAATTACAGCCACCTTCTCTCCTTGACAAACAGCTACCTAAACGCCATGACAAAGTGTCTACATTTAAATCATCATCTAATGGATATAAACGCTGATGATTTCGGAAAAGCTCATTTTACTCTACAAACCTTCATTTGCTTTCAATATTGCACAGTACTAAATTTTTCAGTATTAAATAAAATCCTTCATTTTGGACCTTTCTCAGCCTTGGAAACCCGTATGGTCTTTACAGTTACATCATATTCTCAATATTCCTAATTTATTACTATTTGTCAGTGATGGTCTTGCAGCTGAAAATGATGTCAGTCTATGTGCAGGAGTCTGCACACCAGAACTGTAAATCCAGACCCTACAGCTCGACGGCAAACATAATGAGAATCCGCGAATGAAAGGCTTTAAATCAGTAAAACTCCCCATTTTGTTTGAAACTGGAGGCAAGAAAAACCACAGAGATTTGTCCATATCCTCCTGAGACCCAAGGAAAAAAGTGTCCTTCAATTGTAGGTTATTTGTCTTTGGAGGAAATAAGACATCTTACAATAAAATTTTTTCAAATTTATTTTTATTTTTAATTTCACAGCATGTCCTCTTTAGTGCACAACAGGAATAAATATGTTTCCTAACATCAGTGAAAAACTAAATGCAAAAATACAATGTCCACTACAATGGACATAAATGAATAGGTCGGGTCTCAGGAGGATAAACCTGAACACTCCAGATTCCTTAGATTAGTCCAAGAGTCGCCGAGACAGCCACGGTTGGGAGACCCTGGTGTAGGATCGGTAACAGTAACTCCTGTGAAGCCGTAACCCACAGCACTGGCCCTCAAACAAGTGGGATTAGTGTGTGCAGTGATTCTGTGAAGTTGCACTGCAAAAGCCGTCTTGGCCTTAAACATAGAGGGAGCATAACTACAACCTTTTGGTTTACAAAAGCTGGTATGCTTAAAAAATATATAAATAACAAGACATAAACTGTATAGAACAAACATTTCAATTACAGACCAACCCCCCCCGCTACCCCGGCCCCTTGATCAAGCTGCAGCCCTGGGAGGTAGCAGGCACAATCATGGTCACATAGCACACTCTTCAGAAATGCACTAGACAGAGACGGCCCATCTGGTGAATCACCCGAGGTCTGCTGTGCCTAGCGCTGTCCCGGACTGAACTCTGCACGGCTGCCGCTGCTTCCACGTTTCTTGCATTTCACAGAATGTATAGCTCAGCTAAAATCGAACCTTAGGAGACTCTGGGCCCCATATCGTGAACCGTTTCAGTGGAGGTGGGTGGGTTAGATTAAGTGACAGGATGTTGGAACTACGAGACTAGCTATTATCACAGTGAGGCTTGCATTGGCTGTTCGTTAAACCTTTTCTTCTTTTGTGCCATGGAAAGACACACATATGCTGGCTTCTGATGATGGGGAGTTTGTAATCAATGGCCGTGTTTAAAGCTGTCACGGAACTTCTAGGGAGCCACAATTAACAAATCCTGCCGCAACATAGATGTCTGTACCATTCTTTGGCCTTATCTGTGTACACATGTATTTAAGACTTAAATTACTTTCACGCACACAATCTAATGGCCACACAGTACCGTACCATTGCAGTGATGAAATGCACACAATTAGGCCCAAACTTTGATCCACAAGGGTAAAGGTTGTTTAAAGGTCGTTTAGATAAAAAAAAAATCTCATGCTAGCAGACCGTATTGGTCAGAACTAACAGCCAAATCAGCATCCTTAGTCAAACCCGAACATTTGCGTGATAGTTTGCGATCTTGGGCATTTCACACAATTCACACCACCGTGGCACAGTTGTAAATCTAACAGGAAAAAACGCATCCTCTCCCGCAGGTAAACAAACATGCGTTCCCGTAGCAACAGTCTGGAGAAGGCTGCCAAGACCAAGCTGTCCCACCACAGAGCACGCTCGCGGCGGCGGAGCTCCGAGTGCGAGGACCCGCCGAGCCGGGGGGCAGGCCGGGCCCGGCGGAGGGAGCACCCTGACGATACAGGCACCGTCCTGAGGAATCACAAGGGAGGGGACAGTGGGAAAAGTGACAGGAAAGCAGGTGCATCCTCGGGGAAGGGCAGGGACCTGTCCCGGGACGACCTCCTGTTTCTTCTCAGCATCCTAGAGGGGGAGCTGCAGGTAAGGAGTCTTCTGCAAATATAGAGGCCTATCTAGGTGACAGCGGCCGGCGCCCGTCGACCTCAGGTCTTCCAGCTGTTTCTAAAACACAGAACCAATGTATCGTGCAGACGAGCGATCCCAGATTACCTCGTCGAGATGAATAGAAATCCGGCCGCTGCCAGTCGGTAGATCATGACTAGACCTGATCCAGCTGCAGATTCTGTCTGCCTTGCAATGTCTGCCCTGGCTGATTGTTTCTTGTCTCTCATGCGCAGGCCAGAGACGAGGTAATTACCGTGCTGAAAGCTGAGAAGATTGACCTGGCGCTACTAGAAGCCCATTATGGATTTGTTACGCCACACAAGGTGCTGCAGGCCCTGCAAAGAGATGCCATTCAGGGAAAGGGCAACGACTGGCAGGAGGACATCTACGAGAAACCCATGGCTGAGGTAGGAGGTCCAGGATTGTCCAGATAGATTTTATTACTGGGGGAAGTTAAAAAGTGCAGTATATATTGCCTTTTTGGGAACTTCTTGTACCGTTTCTTTGCTTTCTTCATAACTATAAAACTAAGCTGCTGTATCCAGGGATGCAGCAAGTTCAGTACGGATCAGGCTCATCACCAGCCGCAGGAAGGGAGTAGCTAAGAAAAAGTACCTCTTTAACAGAGCATATTATACGATGAAATTTCAAAATACAGCAGCAGCCCAGCTGAAGATCTTCATCTTTAAATGTGCGCTCAGTACTTCACCATCTGGCAGCCATTTTAAAATCCTCCTTCATAAACTGATGAGCACATTGATGCTTCACATTGCTTTACTGTTTAAAAATAAAACAAGGTGGCGGAGACAGCTAGGAACTAGTTCTGGGTTTGTGTGCGCTCGTGTTACCATGGTGAGTAATCACAAGGCCAGAGTTTACAGAGAAATCGCTCAGCAAAACTCCACTGATACCCATTAGCTTAAATATTTTACTAGGGTAATTTTGAGGATTGCATAGGTTTGAGTAGAAGTTTTGGATGGGGTGAGCAGATAATCCACGTAGAGGGGACACTTTGAGCTACTTCAGGATCTACTAGCTACTTTCAAACTGAAAGTTTCCTGTTCTTGGCTAAATTGTTCAGTTCGTGTGCTTTGGCAGGTTTGTTTCCTTGACTGAAACACTCAACCAGCTGTTTCACATTAACATTAATGATTATTAACATGATTAAAGGAGGTCGACCAATTAGCAGACAGCAATAGCTCAGTAAAATCCAAGTCCTTTTAATTGAAATGGTAGTTTACAAATACTGTCCTAGTTCGAAGTGTCCTCCCTTGACATGGAGTCTCTTTTCGTTTACATTCAAAAAAGGCTTTGTCCTTAAATAGATTTTGAGGTTTTATGTTTGATGGAGACTATCTGCTCATTTAACACCAGCCATCCTACCCTGTAAAAGTCCACCCCTCTGGAAGCTGCCAAAATAGCTGGAAATGCCAACTATCCCATCACGTTTGTCTGAATAACTAATGGTTGCTCAGGGTCCGTCGCGCTACTCTGAGAATCATTTCCGCAAAAAAAATCACACTGAAGAATGTATCTGGGTCACTCAGCTTGACAGACTGGTGGAGAAGCAGCGGGAGACGCACCGACGGATGCTGGAGCAGCTTCTCCTGGTGGAACAGGCCCACAAGCAAGCCCTCTGCAAGCTGGAGGACGAGAAGAGGAATCACAGCGACTTTGTGCAGAAGAGTGACGAGTTCACCAACCTGCTGGAGCAGGAACGTGAGAGGTCAGTCACCCTCTTTAAGCTGAGCCACACAGCCTGTCTGCGCGACGTCAGCTCATTCCCAGCTGAATTCCTGCGTTAATGCTGCAGGAAAGCAGCCTTTACGTTTCAGGCATTTAAGGTGACAGGATTTTAGGTGCTATTAGCTTCCCCTCGTAACAGGAGTAATGGTGCCTTATTTGGTACAGCTAATCGGAACCTGCTGGCGACAACGGTTTTCTGAGAAAGAACATAAGCGCTTGTGGAAACTCGAGGGTACGATATGTAATGTTCTAAGCATGTCTGCCAGTCTCCCCTGAGTTTGGTTATCTTTAAAGTATGAGAGGTTGTGGCAGTTATTTTGTCATCGTGAACATATCTTACGCTGCTGGTCTCTCAAACCTTCCTCATTTATACAAAACATGCTCATCACCTCGAGATATTAAGTTTCATAGTTTTGAGAAGGGTCCTAAATGGTTGAAATACAATCCCATTACGTAACGAGTGACAATCATACCCACCAAAATGAGTTTGGGAATTCCCTTCAGATTAACCGTGAATTATAATATATTGCCGACCAGCTGTCCATCTTGGATCATAGAGGATGTAAAGAGCATTTATTGCGCCGAGAGTCTCTTTACATTTCAATAAAACATACACAGATATATTTACTACACTGGAAAATGGAGAGGCAAAGCAGTAGTCAGTAGCAGGAACTTTCCCAAATAAAACATGGTGTTCTGTGACATCATCGCCTACCACACCTCTTAAAACACCTGAATCCTCTAGTCAGCTTAGAACATGGGCTGAAGTTTATCCTCGGGAGAGATCTTCTCCTATGCATGCTTATGGCTGCATGGGTTTGGCACAGGAATGATGGATCCCACCCTTCTGAAGGATGCTCTCTGCAGAGCACTTCTCATTTTGCATTCTTCTGAAATGATTTTCTAAATCTTGAGTACTTTCATTCTCTTAAACTGGTGAGGTTGACAAGGCGCCTGCAGGCTCGGTCTGAGAAATATTTCAGTGGTTTAAACTTGTTTTCTTGGACCAAGCAACCGGTTATGCCCTGGTTGGGAAGGTGGAGGCATCAGCCAAATGGTTGTTTGTCGAAATCCCAGTGTTGGTCTTGTTCGATACATAAACAGCCAGCAGCATTTGCTATGCGTTCCAGTGAGAGCTGGAAAGGGCGGAGCAGCTCCTACTCAATGTTTCTTTTCTTGGTCTTTAGCTGTAAATTGTTGGCTCTGACCTTTCAGACAGCATGATCCCCCATGACTGAGGCTGCTTCCACTCGCGGCGGTTTCCTGTGACGTCACAACACCCTCTTCTCAAACAGTAAACAAAGATTTAAGCTGCTATCTGCAGTCTCCCAAAGGACATTCTTCTGACTTTATTGAAGTGCAGATTTACAAGCCGCGGATTTTTACGGGAAAAGGGGGCTAGCTATGAAGGAGCAGGGATTAAGTACATATTGCCGAATGGGAGGAGAGATCTTTAACACGAAGCCACAACATGATATTGGTTATGTACAGAAAGGCTTCTGGTCTGAATAACATTCTAAAGAGTTGTGGTTTGCGCTTTCATCCTAGTCCATATGCAGTAATCAAAGTCATACCTTCATAGGCTATGCCATTGCTGAGACACGTGGAATAAGGTTTCTAGTAGAGCCAGAAGTACTTCCGGGTGACAGTCAAACATCATTTTCGGGGCACAGTGCTGAAAACCCCATCGCGTGTGACTTTCACATCAGAACTAATATAAAAATCCCCTGTCCCAGGACTGAGACGTTTGAGAATTCCGGTCGTAAATCTAAGCCCTTTCTTGGGTTACAGCTGTTTCAAACCCAAAAAGGCCGAAAATGTGTTAGGAGCCTGGTGCCATGGAAAATAAATCGCTAGACCACAAATAGCATGAGGCACTGGCACAGGGTCCAGGCTGAAATGCACCCAGTCCTTCTGCTGGTGGAGAAGCGCCAATGCGAGCAGATGCGTGCGTCTGTCCTCTGAAACTGCGGATGACGCGTCAGAGCCCCAAACGGAGGAGCGACCTTCCGACTGTCCAGCCTGTCTATGAGACTCATTTCCAATAGAAATCCCCAATGCAAAACATATTCATTATTCAAAAGTCATTACTCGAACATGACCGCCACTTATTCTGGGAAGAGGAGCGTGGGGAAATGTGAGTACAGCTGGCGGACCATGAACACAAGTCCTGGCAGCTACAGCTCTCTTTGTTAAGCTGTCCATTTTTTTTTTCTTTTAATTTTTTGACGTGTCTGTTTGTAAATGGCTAAACTTAGACCTGACATATTACTGCACTGACAGTAGGAGACAATGTCTTTTGTAGGAACGTGTTGGTTACATCACAGATAACCTTGCAGTGAGCTTTGAAGATATATAAAGATATTTTTCTCGGTGGAGAGCGGCTCAGCAGGCGAAGTCTCTGTGCCTGTGATCGTAAGGTCAGAAGATCGGAAGGGCAAGATGGGACAGGCGAGGAGAAGAATTCCAGTGTAGACGTACCTCAGCAAATAAAGGATTTTTTTCATTTTTTCATTATTACCAGCTAGTGATGGCCACCCTGGTTATATCATGGAAATGATCAAGGTGGTCGTAGAGAGAGAGTCAAAACATCTATGCAAAGTGGTCAAGGAAGCAAATTAACAGTGACATTACCCAGGGCCACATGGCCTCTTTCATTTGGCAGGACAAGTTAGAGCCTTGTGGTCACTCACAAAGCAAGTCGGGACGCGGAGCCTGCCATGGAAAACAGCCGTCCATCTGGGATGGTGCTAATCACGCCACGCGAATGGTGGATGGGGCACGTTTGGAAGCAGGCGACCCGCAAGGCGGCTGGACGCTCGTGCGTCGTGTGAGGCAGCTGGGTACATGATACGCCGTGACTCACCGACCTGTTCGGCTGGATCTCTAATCCCGCGTCTCACAGCTCCTAGACAGATCATGAGAATGAGGTACGGCGTGACTCCCATCTGACAACCACTGACAAAAAGCCAAAATGTGGTCTTGTTCTTGCTTGTTCTCGGTGCTTGCATAGATAAATAATTGGTTTCTGCTGAATATTCTTAATGTAATCAGAATGTCCCCGGGAAATTACAGAAGTGCTTAAACGGGAACAGTGTTAATCCCTATTAAATACAAAATGGCCTCTGCGACGACCACCTATGACACAACTGTGATTGTGAGTTACGTCTCGGCTGAACAAGTGCCAGGTGTGAGACACTCTCTCATGATCGGGCGTGGAGAAGCAATGTCATCGCACTGTTTGTCTCTTTTGGGTGGAGAAGAGTTGAGTTCTTTACTCGAAGTATTCCCACTATTACGCTGACACTGATACACATTGACTAAACTTTCCTTTGTTTTCCAAGCCATCCTGTGCTGCAACATTCATGTTCGTATGTGTCCTGGTCCCATGACGTAAGGGGAACTTTGGGGAGAAGCTCACCGGCAGCTACTCAGACTCTTTCCTTCTATGATTTTTAGGGCTGAGAAAAAGAAAACAAAGTCAGAGGTGATGTAGTGAATCGTCGTACATCAGAGGGTCTCTGGTCTGGCCCTCAAGACAACAGGAACTGCATGCAGCTTCAAAGTGGGTAAACCATTTATGGTCCTTGAAAAAGCTCAGCAAAAAGCTTATCGAGGCGAGGATCAGCGCGGGCCCCCATCCTCAAGAGTGCCGTGCTGCAGCGGTTTTTAATTTCATGCTCGTTAATTCGTCGTTGCGCGACGCGTTATAACGGGATGTGATCATTTCCTGTCTGTGGGCTGGCACACGTCCCCCTGCGATTACACAGCCAGCCGGCGCAGCACAGCACCGGGCGCTAACTCCTCCCAGTTCCTTCACCTCGCTTCGGGGGTCTCTGACTCCTGGGCGACCCCCTTGTCTTGAAGCCGAGAGGCGGGAGGAGAACCGAGAGAGGTCAACCAGGACACCCCCCCCCCCCACCATTTTATCAAGTTACGTGCAAGCAGACTGGGTGCAGCCCTTAATTCACCTCTGTGATGCGTGTGACGACTGGGGGGAGCGGGGGCCTGACTTCCAGCAAATGTGTCAGGAAGCTGCAGCGTATTCTCTGGTGTTCGCTTTTGCCCCTGAACTTACACGGGCGGCTGAGAGCTTCACAGCTACTTCCCAGCAGGACGTTCAGCTGCTCAACCCACCCGCAACCATCACTACAAAACAATCAGCCTAGTCCCACAAGGCTTCTAGTGTCCTACAAGAATTCCATCTTTCCAGGAGAACATTTCTGAATGAATTTTGACCATCTATTGGTTCATATTTCTATTATTCTTGTGTAAACTCTGGCATCAAAGAGCTAGCAGATTATTTTCAAAATCTACATGGGCACTTGTGTTTGATGTGGTCAGTGCTGGGACAGCCTTAAACGTGTCTTAAAAAGTGACCTTCGTAGAACTGTGGAATTCGCATTTCCGCACATATCCAGCCCACGAAAAAAACACCCATGGTAAAGCAGGTGCTTAATACAATTTCCCTGCGTTGTCATTTTTGGACATTCTACCAGTTTCTGTTAGCAGATCCTTAGATGTCATTAAAGGGTTAACAGCATCCACTTCAGTCACCCTCGTTCCAGTGAACATAAAGGAGAATTTCAGTCTGCCTGTGGTTTTGGCAGCCTGTAAAGGAAATTGAGTGCCTCATATGTATAAGCTGTGAGTTCCTGTGACTGTGTATTGAAACTTGACTTTTCCTGTAGATGAGATCATTTGAGAACAAGATGGCAATGACCACCCAAGAATCCATGTATCTTCCATGTTAAGGCACTGCAAGCCAAACTTGCACTGCTTCTTTAAATCTTTCATGAAAGGCAATTAAAATCTTAAAAAAAAAAACAAAAAAAACTTCCACTGGATATCCCTGTGGTTTGGGGTGCACTATATACATGTGCAAGCACTAACCTACAATAATTTATCATAAATGAACACCAGTATGCTGTAAAAGTTGCGTAAAACTGTAGACATTTAAAAAACATCTTGTGACAACTA